AAAGACATACCTAAGTTCTTCATGCTCATCAGAAGTGTCTTCTGCGTCACAAAGTTCCATCGAGGTAGGTTACCCATAATTCTTCATTATTTTCTTGATACCACACCATAGACCTAGCTCCCCTGATTACTTCCCTCATGCTTATTGTGTGATTGCATGCTTCTCCAACATTTAATTTGAGTTTCAATTTTCAAGGGATATGGTCTAATAGTTATATTTGGAAACTTTTGGTGAGGACTTGAGAAATCGAGGGGCATATTTTGAGAGAGGACGAAGAGATGGAGAAAACGATGTAGGTTAGAGGAGGTTTGGACCTCCTCCACTACAAGATGTGATTCTGGCGCGATTGAGAGAAGCTGATGAGAGGGACATGAGATATATATATATATATATATATATATATATATATATATATATATATATATATATATATATATATATATATATATATATATATATATATATATATATATATATATATATATATATATATATATATATATATATATATATATATATATATATATATATATATATATATATATATATATATATATATATATATATATATATATATATATATATATATATAGAGAGAGAGAGAGAGAGAGAGAGAGAGAGAGAGAGAGAGTGAAGAGTGAGGGAAATTTTGTTTAAATGAAGTAGAAGCCGAATGGTCACAATGTTAAACATTATGTTACATTTTCTACATTTTTCTTTTATTATTATTTCATTTTTAAATTTTTTTGTTATTTTCTGATAGTTTGAAAGTGGATTGGGCTCTAAGCCCACTCTAAATGGTTCTCACACCCTCCCTGCATTTTTTTAACCAAAAACAATGCTATTGGGATCACTAGCATGCTTATACACCCACATTTTTTATCCACACTCCCTGGCCCAGTCATATCTCACCCCATGCTCCATTTTATTTTTTAGTTCTTTGCTATTAAAATAAATCACAAAAATTCGAAAATGTTTTTAGTTAATTTTTAGATATCTTTTTAGAAATTATAGAATATATTTTGGTCACTTTTTAGTTGAATTCCTTTACATACAAAAAAAATACAGAAAGACCTAATTTTGGTTAGTATTTTTTACCTAACTTTTAGTTAGAACTTCAACACTTTTTAGGTAAATTTTTAACACCAATTTTATACCTATTGTTGCACTATAATTTTTCTCCATTTTTGTCATCTTTTGCATCACGCTTACATCTTATTTTTGATTATTTTTAGTCCTATTTTGGTACCGATTTTGTGATTCTATTTTGAGCATTTGGTTTGTATAGTTTGGGTTGTAATATTGTATAATTTCCTTTATATTTTTGTTGCATGGTTCCATCCCCCCATTATGGGTTCTTTGTTCCCCATCCCCATTGTTGTAATAGTGTATTGTGATTTATCCCCCATGGTAGGAAAAATACACCCCCTCTCCATGGACATGTAATAATGTATGACTTTATTTCTTTATCGTTTTATATTGCATGCATGTATGTAACTAAGATAAAACTAAAACGATAAATTTTTTAAAATAAGACAAAATAAAACTTAAATTAACGTCAAACCTTTTTCATAAATAAACAAAAGCTAATTGAACCTCGCCAGCGCATTGGACTTCACCCCACCTATCATTGAACCATATCTCACCATATTTCCTGCACTCCATATCAAAACAAAACAATTTCAAAATCAAAGATAAATAAAACTAGAATCCGTGATCCAAATATAAAGGTCACACTTTTTCAAAACCTTTTCTTAATAAAAGTGGAATGGTACAAGGAATGACTGGGTTTTGACTCTTTCCTTCTTCAAGAGTTAAGACATTACTTTTAGAGCTCACTGTCGAAGTACTTGCCTTCCTAATCAAAACACTCTAAATAAAACAAGTGTAGTTATTCTTTATTGAACTAAAGAGGATATGATTGGGTTTAGACCTCTTCTCTCCCATGAAGTAGGATGTTTTATTTCGAGCTCATCGTCCGACTATTTGTCTTTCAATAAGGAAATGTGACTACACTTACCACACCTTTTAAAAGAAAAACTTTTGGATTCACTTCCACCTAAAATCCATCCTAACTCATCAAAATTTCTTTTTCTTCCTTAGGGCATACAAACTCTAACTCTTTTTAGAAAGAACATGTTATTTTCGTTCTACCGCAATACAAGCACCACATAATTCTCCAAATATGGGCGACAAAGTCTAACTGCTAGAATGTGAACATTAACATCGTCAACTAAAAAAAATGAACAAACGCTCTGTGAACTACAGAGCTCTGATTTCCTCATCGCATATTAAAGATACGTAGGCACAAGATTCCAGAAATCTTGACGAACACACTAATTAAAAACTTATTTTCCCCTTAATTAAATCCATATAATAAAGCAATAATAGCAAGTAAACCTAATCAAATCCCTTACATGCAAAACAAATAAAACAGTTCCTGTTGAGTACAACGGATGTGAGTGGTGCAAATACCATTCCCTTGTATAATCGACTCTCGAACCCGAATTTGGTTGCGAGACTATTTTTCTTCATCTTTAGGGGTTTTCTCGAATTTTTTCCCTTTCTTCAGAATAAATAAAGTTCGGTGGCAAATCAGTGGAGTTTAACTTATCAGAAGATGGATATCAACGAATATATTCATTAATAAGAACAAAGATTTTATATAAGTAATTTATTTTAATATTTTGTTCAAACAATGTAACTTCAAATAAAAAAATCATACACCTCGATTATTGTCATAACCGAGGTGATAGGTAAAATAAGAAGATAATTTACCTTGGTTTTCTTATAAAACCGAGGGGTATAATAAACATATTTTACTATAAATACTCTCGTTAAACATATTTTACCCTAATACTAACTTATATGTAGCCGCCCCAAATAGAGGAAATATTTATCACCATCTATTTCATGAGTTGCTACTACAAAAAATATTTTTTGATGGATTTTCCATGCAAATTTTTGATCTAGAAACAAATCCTTGGGATGGATTGCAAGTTCAGAAAATAAAAATTCTCATGGCAGGAACATATAACTTATTAGAAGTTGGATAAGTTATGGAGTGTTTTTTGGATATGCAACATAAGGGTATGCAACAAAATTTAAATTTCACCAATGATTTGGTATAAATAATATATTTTAATATTCTGTATAAACAATGTAATACAAAAAAAGCTTATTACTCTGGCTTTTGATTTGAACATAGGGATATGTTAAGCACTTTTTTAGAGGACTTTCAGCGGCATTAAACAAATCTTTGTCGTCCATTTAATGATTATCAATGCTCAATATTTTCTCATTAGTGATCCGCGTGAAACCAAGAGAATCCATTTAAAAAGCATGTTGAATATTAACATTTCTAATCTAAATAATACATGAAGCACTTGAAACCTAAGAACGCTTGGAAAAGTTCTCTATGATGGATTGCAAGAGAAAAAAATTGTTTGGGTTTAAGGTTTATTTTCTTAAATATTTATTTGAACCGAAAATCATATATTTGAATATTGATTTTAATTATCTTACCTTTTTTTTTCAACAGAAACAATGCATGTCAGATCCGTAGAGAATAATCTTGCACCCAACATTTGATCTTCTCTAAGATTTAATAATTCGAAGATCTATCATCTAAATCTTCTGAGAATTTGGTTTTTATCTAGATCTCTAGGGAATTTAATATTTAATTTAATATCCTGTCTAAATAATATAATATTCTGAGTAAATAATGTAACTATTTATTTATAAAAAACAAAAATGATCTTACCCGTCGGTTTTCTAGATAAACCGAGAGATAAGATACATTAGTTTTGAAAATAATAAAAGTGTTGCTGCTGGTCTTCGAACCCATGTGCTTATAATTTCATCTCTCAATTTTTAAATCACCGATTTATTAAGTGGCAACTTTTCATAACGCCCTTTGTTACCTTGCTTCTTTAACCGAAGTTAAATACATTTCGCGTCTGAAATAAAATATATTTTTTGTAGTAGTAGTAGTATGATGACTTCAAACATTTATTTCAGTAAAAGTCTTTTTTTGAACAAACCCCTACAAGTTTTGATGGTGAAAGATATATCTTAAGGAAAGCAAGAATGAAAATATTTATAGAAGCCGTTGATTTTAACACGTGAGATTATGTTTTACAATATCTATTGGTTTCTACTCATTTCGTTAATAATGAAGGAGTTAACAAAGAGTTATGAACCACACAAGAAAAAGATAAAGTGAAAAAAAAAATTAAAATTAAGTAATTAATGATAAATACGTTAAGCATTAGAAGGTATAATTGTAGCGCTACAAAAGAAATGTGAGACATCCTTAAAATGATTTATGAAAAATAAATCCTCCAAAACTCTATATTTCAATTCATTTATTATTCTCAAACAAATTTATAATATCTTTTACTATGAGGCGACCTAAATTTTTTTAATTTGTATCATTTATTATAAAAAAAATTAAATATACAATACTTTATGTAATATAGATGAGATTCGGTTTATCTCGTAAAAGAAGAATTTGGATTCTCCTTAAAATGTTAAAATTTTATGTCATTTGCCTCCTAAATATATAAGTTATCTCTTGTAATATTTTTGTTTATATTTACCGACCTAAATTCAGTGTTTAAATTATATGTTTTGGAGAAAATTAAAAAAAAAAGTATATTAAAATGGAAATCCAAAAAAATAAAATTACATAGATTAAAACAAAAATTGTCTACATTGCAAGAGTATCGTATATTTAAACCAATAAAAAATATCTTATATAATCTTATAATACGTATATTGAAAAGTATTAGGTTAAGAGCTGCAAATAAATTGTTTATGAAAGAGAACTAAATCACATAAATGCCTGTGTTTGTTATGCGCAAATATTATTTATATCATTTCATAATTCATCTTTTAGTTTAGTAATTATATAGAAAGCCACCTCATTGCCATTCCCTTTATTACAATCATAAATAACCAAATTAACATAGTACTCATGCTGTGACTTAGCCTTAACACTAGGCTGCATTGATGAAAATCTTCATCCCAGTTTGGCAGTGACCAGGAAAGTTGCATATGAAGTAATTCTCTCCACTTTCTAGCTTGATCTGATCACTCCCTGAATTGAACGTTTCATAACCGGCAGCCGCCGGCGTTTTGCAGCTGGTGTATCCAACTTTGTCCACGGCAACCACATTGTGTATCTTTGAATTATAGTTGAAAACTACAACAATCAATAGAATATTGATCACATACTACATAACTAAGAAATTTACAAATTCAATTTAATCTTACCGAGTACATCACCCGCACTAAATTCTTTTCCATTAGGCCAATTCTTAGTGTTGAAGGTCCATCCCTTAGCTCCACCAACAATGTGAGTTTCTGCATTAATATTTTCAGCTAGAAACAAAAGGCACAATAGTGAGATCATCATAGTGACTATGTTCATAGATGCACTGCCTCTTCCCTCAGACATATTTGATATTCTCAATATTAGTGTAAACTAGATTTGGCTATGGCAAATTTATAAGTGAAATGGTTGAGTTGGCTTGCAAGATTAAGACTTATCCGTTTTTTATAATAGAATTGGTTGATGAATCTGTTGAGCTATGGGACCAAAAGTGTTTTTAATATTATGTAGATGGAATATTGAGGATGTACACAGCACAATAAAGACAGGTTGGTGGCTTTTCTTCAATAGTTAAGGTTAATTACTAAATTAAATTAGGTCAAGAAAAGGTTAATTATTAAATATTTCTTAACTAGGTTAAGTTAGATGATACTACTCTAGATACATGCCGTCAATTATTGCTCATGATGAGACACTATTTACTAAGAAAGTATTGACGACTATTTACCGATAAATATTTAGGACAATATATATTTTAGTCTACATCAAATTTGAATATTTTTTAATTTTTAGTCTCTATAAATTATTGTCTTAATTTTATTTTTATAGTTTTGTAGTGATATATTTGTAAGGATTTATAAGGAGTCGACGAGTTGCTATCGCCCATGAGAGGGTGATATCATCTATAATGGATAATACCGCCCGAGACATGTATCACTTCTCCAAAATGAGAAAATGTGAAAAGTGATGTGTCTTGGTCATATATGGTGTAGAGAAAGAGTTTAAAAATAACCCAAGTCTTTCTAAAAAATATGGATTAAACAATCAATTCTCTCTTTTACTAGCGGCTTCTACTTCCAAAAACCCTAAGTCTAAGAGCATCTATAAAGACAATCGGATACACACACATAGAGAAAACACTCTTGAAATAGAGTCTTTCACCCTCACTAAAACAAAAGCCTCTAGTAATTCCTACCTACTTAGGATTGTTACACATGTGTGTTTTTTTAGCAAGTAAAGTAGCGCACCCCGTGGGGCCCCGCTAAAACAAAATTGGATCACACCTTCCATTATTACCACCACTTTTACCTGTCCAAAAAAGATCCAAGCTACATGGATAACACTATTGTCTGAGGTTCCGTCTATGGGGAAAATTTGTGGTACTCCCTGAGATAATACGCCATACAGGTGTTTGTTGCAAACATAATATCCCACATCCTCTTCAAAGCCACCCAGAGATGACCATGATATAGAATTTTATTCTCTAACAGTGACATCATCAGTGTCTACCCTCACGATAACGATCCCATGGCCATCACGATGCAATACAATAATTGGAATATCAAACAAATCTTGATAGATCCTGGGAGCTTAGTAGACATCCTATTCTAAAGCATCTACCAACAACTACAACTCTATCATGTCAGCATTAAGGAATTTTAAGGCTCACTAGTGGATTTGTCAGGCGAGCAAGTACAAGTAAGGGGTGACATAACCCTTGAAACAACTTGTGATGCATGAGTAGATTACAAGGCGATCAAATTCAAGTACTTCGTGGGATTTTCAAAAATAAAAACAATATAACACATTGTTTATCTTGGTTCGTGATAAGTGCAAATTTTTAGCTATTTTTTTATATACTTTTTATTGCTTTTATCAAATTTTTTTCTGTAATTTCAGTAAATAAACCCGACTTTTATGTAAATAAGTTTCATTTGTGTTTATTTGTGTTTTTGTATACATAGTGTACCATTTGATATTTTTCCATTTATTTTGTAGGTATTTATTGCATTTTCGAGCATCGGGGAATAAGGTGTCAAAGGCACGGCTCCGGATGCACGTTTTCAGAATAAGAGATCATTTTTGGGAATTGATGTCTAGGAGAGCCCACTTAGCGTGCATAGGCCACTAAGCATGAGTGACACTCAACGCATTTTTTAGCGTGCTGTTTGCGTTTGACAATTTGGAAGAACCAATGTTTTGAAGTCTGCTTAGCGCAGATAGCGTGCTTAGCACAGTTTAGGTCGGTTTAATGTGTAAAAATTACGCAGCCCGCTTAACGCGCTAAAGATGCTTAGGGAGGTCTGCTAAGATTTGTTTTATAACTTCATTTTCAGTCATTTTTAGGTTACGGTTTGGGGGAAGTTTTTGCTCTCAACTCCATCGACCTGTAAATTTTGATAGGATTAGGTTAAATAACAACTATGGAGCTTGCATACGGATCATATAGGGTGGATTGCTCTTCAATCGACACTGAAAAACCGGTAGATTTGTGGTTCGTTTCTCTTCCTATTTTTGTTTTCTCTATTGGTTTGGTTTGTATGTATATTTTCTTTGAATTCATATATATTTGTCGCCCTTGGTGTTATATAAAACTTGCTTTCCAAATCTTTGTCGATTATTGTCTTGGATTTTTATTCTATGTTAGGGATTTGAGTTGTTATAGACATATATTACTTAGATTCTTATCTAGGATGATTATCTATTAGTTTCTGAACTTTAGAGATAGATTTATCCTCTGTATTGTTTGTGTCACTCTGACAGATCGTTGATGTAGGCGAGCACGATTGACATCTGTATTGTTGAGGTGGTTGAGAGATCGCTACCGAGGTGATGCAATTGGCCTATAAATTTGGGTTAGAAAGGACTTAGGTTGTGAGTGATACGTAATGACATTGATGACTATTGTTAGATTGAGTATAACAATTTGATAGGTTTAAGTCTGTGGGAAGTAATATATATGCATGCTTGATAATTTCTTCCTTAGATTTTCTTTTGTTTACATTCATTTTCTGTTAATAACATTTTCTTTCAACCCAATTATCCCCAAACTCATTAACAAGAAATTTGTCGAACGACGAATCAATAACCAATCTCTGTGGACACGATAATTTTCAGGAAGCATTTCCAAAACTTTTGTTGCTTTCTGCTCTACCGCATCAACAAAATGGCATTGTTACCGGGGATTGGTGTTATTGTTTTTGCATTACGATAATTCTTTTGTTTTTGAGTTTTGTAATTAATGTATATATTGTATAGAAATTATACATTAACTTGGATATGTTACTTGTTCATATATGTTTTTTTCTTTGTTTTCATGTATTGTTGTAAATTGTCTCATTTTCGTAACGTTTGTTGTGTGGATGTTAGGACACTTTATTTAGGTTTGCACAGTGTGACAATACCATGGCATGACGAGAGGAGGTTACTAGCACGCAGAATAAAGGCGTCGAGCTTACGACGTAAAACAAGCATGTTATATTTGTATTCGTTTTTGTTATATGTGAATTGTGTTTTAACAAGTTGAACTCGGATTAGTTTTAAATATTAAATTTTCACTTTTCAACTTGTTAATTCACTTTTTACCCGTTTGTTTCGTTATGTCAAATTATGTTTTTCCGCAAGCTTGTTGTGTTTAGCTTGAGGAAGTTTGTATGTTTTAAATATTCTGGGCATATTGAGTGTGTTGGTGATTGTGGAGCTGCATAGCAGCTGCACCAGATGCTGCTATCAGTTTTCTGCATTTGGTGTAGCGCGCTAAATGTGCACTGCGCCGCTTAGCGCACTCTATTGTGCAAAGCCAATTAATTCTTTTTAATTTTTCACCTGGCCGTCCTTTTTCCCACTTCCACCTAGGCTTTAAATAGTAAATAATATTATTATAATTAATTCTTTTTTTTGTTGTTTGGACTCAATTTTGGTTCGATAACTTGAAGTCGCTTTTGGTAATTTTCCAAGTTTAAGTGTTTCAACTTGCGAATGCATGGTAATGATTTTGTTAGTTTTGTACACAGTTGAGGTATGTGTTTATCGCTTTCTATACTTTATAATATTCATGATACTTAGACTTTTTACAATTTTTATGTCATTCATTCTTTTGTATACTTGTTCATTTGTGAATCACTTTAGTTCCTACCTTTTTCGTGAGGTAGCTTTCCATTGTTCACATATGCTAGAGACCATAACTCTTGTTTTAATTGAGTTTTATTATGCTTAATCTTTTGTTTGTGTTGATTGTATGAAAGCTTGAACATGATCAAGGCATTTTTTGTTCCATTTTGAGCACAACTACCCCTTGGCCAAATAATCAATTCACCTTGTGAGTGTGTGATCATTAATAACTACTTTGAGTTTTTTGTCGATATCCATGTTGTTTTTGCTAAATGTTTGTCTATGAGGGTTTGGTTTACATTTTTGTATGAATATTGATTCTTTATTTTCTTGAACCCTCAACTATGTTTTTTAGTTGAATTTTTACCTTGCCTTAGAAAGTAGGGAGTATTTACTTTAATATTGGTTGAATTCAAGTTGGGGAGAGTTTTGATTGTGTATTTATTGTTTGATTGCTATGAGGTTAAGAAATGAAAAAGTGAAAAAAATAGAAAAAGAAAGAAAAAAATTGAAAAAGTTTTGAAAAATAAAAATAAAAAGAGTATGGAATAATTGTGCTAATAAGTGATGGTGCTTTGGTGTGAAATTTGGGATTTGGAAGAAGTTCAATTGGAATTTTGTGTTTGAATTTTTGGTGAATTGATCACTCCCTTAGGTTTAGGAAAGTTTTTTTTCCGATTAGCTTTAGGACTTATCCCTTGTTTGTTAACTAAGCCACATTACAACCTTGAAATCCCTTGAGATTCTTGCTTTTGTATGTTCAATGTGAAGTTTTGGATGAATGCATAATTTAGTCTATTGTTTACAAGATTGTTGGATGAGTGAAAATACCCCATTTTTTGTGTTTTTCATCTACCGGTGATTGTGTTTGCTAGGTGTGATTCATTTGTGAACTAGTATTGTTTTAGAATGTTTGGCATAATTTTTGTATTTAACATTTTTCTCATGTTTATGTTATCGTCGTAGTTTAGTGGTAAGTTTGTTTCTTCGTGTGTACCGTTTTTCATTTTGAACCATTGCGTTTGTTTTCTGTTTTTAAGACTTGATGATTCATGATATTTTGGTTGATTACTTTTGGTTCTTTGAGTTGTTTGTCTTTGTTTGAGGACAAACAAGTTCAAGTTGGTGAGAGTTTGATAAGTGAAAATTGTACCTATTTTTTTATATACTTTTTTGTTGCACTTATCGAATTTTTGTTTGTAATTTTGTTAAATAAACCTGACTTTTATGTAAAT